GGAACTTGCGGTGGTGGATAAATGAGGAATGTACCGGTTGACGAATGTAACTAATCCCAAAAAACTCCGTATTTCTTCTGCTGAACGTGGTTGACGAAATTGGTTTATAGCTTCTAACTTTTCTCTAGACACCCTCGCTCCGTTTGCCGATAGATGAAAACCAAGAAAATTTATTTCCTCCACGCATTCAATAGTTTTAGCATCATTCAGAAACAAATTTCTTTCCGTTAAACGTTTCCTCACTAAATTTGTCCTAATTTTGAGAGATTCTTGATCAGGTGCGTGTATCGAAATGTCGTCAATGAAAACGATCAACCATGGCAAATCCACTAATATTGTTTCCATGCATTTTTGAAATAGTTCAGGAGCAGCTGATAATCCAAATACCAGTCGTTTGTATCGCATTAAACCTAGCGGAGAAATGAAGTTAGTTATATAGCGGCACTCTTCATGCAGCATCAACTGGTGAAATGCTTGTTTTATATCAAACTTGGTGAAATATTTGCTGCCTTTTAACTGACAAATCATCTGTTCCATGGTTGGTAAAGAATGGACTTCTCTAACAATGGCTTTGTTCGCCTCTCGTAAATCAATTATAATCCTGACCTCATTAGCACTTTTCCTTTTAATGAGCTTTGGAGAAACCCATTCCGATGCTTCATTAACTCTCTCAATTAGGGTAAATGTCGGCTTCGGCACCCATTGACTGTTTTCGGCAATCAAAATTTAAACGTTAATTTCACTATGTTTTACCATCAACACACTTCCCTGAATGTATCCAAATGATTCTTTAGTCTTTCAGCTTCAATCTGATTATATTTGTAGGACCGAGCAATCCTGTTATGCCAGATTTTTCTTCAAATGAAGTATACGTAATACAAAATGGGGCTGATTTCGAGTTGCCGATAATAGAACAGCTGGTTAACACGCAGTTCTAATGGGAAGGTTGCCGTAGAAAAAGAGGCTGCCGACAATAGTCACACTCACCTGAGAAGTTTAGAGCGTTGTAAAAACGCTTTCAAACAGTTTTGAAGAATTCTGTCGATTGGAATGGATAGAGAAGCAAACAGCAGATGAATTGAAACAAACAGACACGTCATATATGTGCGTGACGCTGTGAAAATGCTAATAGAAGTGCGGACGCTGCGGAGAATACGTAAATTCCCCTATATCCTGTTCCTCTAATTCCTTTAACTTTAGAAGCGTTATTTTTTCTAGGGGAATTGGTATGCGCCGGAAAGCTTGCCGAACCGGAGGGACTGATTCATCGATTTTCACAGATACTGTCATGTCTATTTAATTTATATTATATTATAACTGTAAGCAAAGTTATAACTGCTATTAATTCTCACCTTTGATACAGGGCATGGCACTGCTGCTTGTAACATTCAGAAACTTCACCACTCCTAATTTTTCTGCTGAATTTCCAGACAGCAAGCAACACTTCCCATTTTCGATTACAAAGAACGTTGTGTTGCAGGTCCGGTCTCCAATGACAATTTCCACATCGATTTCTCCAAGCACTGTCAACGGACGGTTGGATCCATATCCTCGAAAATTTTTACTGCTGCCCTTTCGTACGTCGAATGCCTTAAATCCCACCTTCTTCAGAGTCTTCCAATCCATTGTACTAAGGACGTCTTCATCAGCACCAGTATCTACCACAAACCGAAGATTTACACCACCAACTGCAGCTATCACTGTGCGTTTACCGTCCAGATGAAACAATTCGCGAATCTCTACTGTGTTAGTAACATTATCCACTTCTCTTACGAATTTGAGCTTTCTGTTCGAATTTTTACCCTGAAAACGATTTGTTGGCGATTCGAGATTCTTAACATCACCTTTCCGATTTTCTCGTTGGCCATACGGATGAAAATTTTTACGCGGCTTCCAACAGCAACGTGCAAAATGGCCAACTTTCCCACAATTGTTGCATCGAGAGACCCGAGCAGGGCATTGCTGGTCACCAGAAATATGAGTTCCCAAACACCGGGTACACGTACCTTTGTTGTCCATTGAAATGTTGCTTGATTTAGAAACCGCATTCAAATCGTTGAAATCCGAAAGCTGACAGGACCTTGAACGAAATTCTTGCACTTGTGCGGAAACTGATTCATGAGTTCGCCCAATTTTCAACATTTCTTCAAGAGTAACATTAGCTTCTAAATATTTGGCCCTTAGTTTATCATCGTTTTCGGTCGCATACACTATTTGATCCATTATCATTTCATTGACTTGATCTTCGAAGTTACATGCTGTTGCTTGAGTTTTGAGGCGTAGAACAAATTTATTCAATTTTTTCCTTGGGATTAAACTTGAGCTGACGGAACTTGTATCTCTCGTATCGGAGTGACATCCGAGGTGAGAAATAATTATCCAATATCTCCATTGCCGCCCGGTAACGATTGTCCAAAATGCTTCCAGATACCTCCAGATTTTTCGCAATTTTCCGAACGTCCGGTCCACCGAAACACATCAACGCATTGTATAGCTCATCGTGGTCATTAACACCTTTTAGCGCAAGGTATGATAAAAATTGTCTTTTCCATTCTTCCCATCGCACAGATGTAGGACCGTCGCCAGACTCGTGGAATGGCAGTATATTGAAATTCAGCTGTAATTAAAATTTTCTGAATATTTGTTCGCATTAAACCACACACGATTTCATTGATTGACTTTTCACTAGCTTTATCTATTTTCAATTAATATAAGAATTATAATTTAATTTTAAAATAAATTTACATAGCGGACTGGAACCCGAAGTTCCCTTCGCTTTTCCCTTATATGGGATCAGTCAAATGGCCTGGAATCTTTGTTCCCTTCATTTGACTCTCTAAATGGCCTGGAACTTGTATTCCCTTCATTTAGAGACACTTCAATTGCCTCACCTCAGTAGACTTCCAGACAAATGGCCTGGAATTATTATTCCCTACATTTATCTACCTAAATGGCCTGGATATTTTTCCATAATTCCCTTCATTTAGGTTCTGTTTTCAACATTGAAAGATTTAAAACTTCACATTTTCCAAAATGAATGTACAAGTTATACTAGTGGAACTCAAACAACTGTTACTAAGAAAAAAAAATATTCGTTACCATGGACATGTTGACGTTTCAAACAATTTGCACAACTTGAAGAAAATTTCCGTCCAATCGACTTGTGATGCCTTGCTGCTCTAACCTTCGCCCTCGTCTTATTTGATGAACTTCAAATTGTCTTTAAACACGTACGGGTAACGTTTCACCACTCGTCGCCAATGTAGCAGCTCCAAATAAAACGTCTTGTTCCGATGAGTAGTTGAATATGAATCACGTTTTATTATCAGTAACCTGGCTTGGCCTACTATCATTACATTCTTAAATCTATGCCTACTACACAACGTATAGTTCGTCTAATTTTACATTGAAAATGTTATACAAAATTAGACGAGTACATTCGTTGTGAGTCAGGTAACACAGTAACATTGTTGTATCCGGTGGAATATTCCGAGTCATATCACAACCACCTTCACCAAAGTTGCCGAGGAGTAGGCCCCATCATCTAGTCAAACAGAAGCGGAAAATGAGGGGAAATATTTAAAACATGAAAATCAAACTTAGTCACTCAAAATTGATCAAAGCAGTCGCACATACATCAACAAAATTAGAATGAAATATTGTTGGTATAAACATCAAACGTCAGAGCGATCTTTTGCGTATTATTTTATTATATTGATACAAACACTAACCAATCCAATTTAATACATTTACAGCACATTACTCTGATATGTGAAAGCTTGATATGGTATGAGCAGGATGTGTGACTTTAAGATTATCCAAGCCAAACATCCAAGCCAAACATCCAATCCAAATCAATCCATACACAAACATAATTTTTCTATCGCTACGCACCCGTCTCAAATTTTGTAAAATCGGGCGAGGGTCGCTGCAGGATATTTTAGCATGGATTGGATGATTAACTTGCAAACTTTTGGGTATGAGTGGGCAATCAGAAAAACAGACCCGTCGCACTCATAAAATAAATCACATAACCAGTGGAAAATATCCATGTGAATTTCGAATAACTTTCATGTGATCCCATAATTGGAAATTGCACCACTAAATCAGATGAATGTTATGTGTCCAATGAAATCTATATGATTTCTCATATAGAATTTCTAATGCTATGTAATATTCAGGTAAAAATCATTGTTTTTGTTTTTGGAAAAATACTATGTGCGTTCCTAATAGAATTTAAGTGAAAACTTTTTTCAGTGCACTTTAACACACTTGCACAGACAAACAGACATAACACATTGAATATTTCAGTGTCAACATTTCAAAGGGGCGTAATTGCTTTTGTAAACAATGGCTTTAGACGTCGATTTCTCGCAAATGAAAACCCACACCTCCAAATTACAAATGCTAGCTGATACAGGAAACATTCCTCTGCGTGCTGGTGTCATTCATTTTCATGAGTGAGCTTTCATTCGCGAGAAATCGACGACTAAAGCCATTGTTTACAAATGCAATTACGCCCCTTTGAAATGTTGGCACTGATTTCTCGCTGTAAAACATCGTTGCTAAAACATTACCGCCATCTGTTGAGTACACTGTGGTGGGCACTACGCTGAACAGATGACGGTAGTGTGTAAACGTCAAACGCAAGGGAATTGACTATGCACGCCACAGGTGGTGGTACTACCAACTACGATACTTTTAAATTGTCCGTTAAATGATTGTTCGATGAACAACTTTCGAGTGTCATGTCTGTTTGTCTGTGACTCTTGGTCATTCGTAACTTGTCCGGGGGTGAGATTTGAACACGTGACTTTGACGTGAGAGGTATGTACGCCGGAATCGCCCCCAAGAATTTCGTAGCGATAAAAGCCATACCGGACGCCAATCCGTCAATTATCATTGCAGTTAAACCCGAACCCGATTTGTTTTCAAGTAGTCAATCCCGAACCCGACCATCTCTAGTGGTGCCAACTCTGCTTCAAATAAAACTCCTTGCATTTACTCATAAGTAATCGATCTTTGTTTTTATTATTAATCTTAATAAAATCTCTTCAACTAGGTAAAAAGTGTTCAATATATTAACTACTTAGTTCGCATAAATGTTTACCCTTCCACATTTCGTCGATTTGTCACGTTTTTCTTCTTTCTTTGTTTTCCTTCTAGTTTTTAACAGTACCATTTAAAAAGAGTATAAAAAAGACAAAACTTAAGCAACGAAAAGAAATACATACGCTTCAGTGGTGGTGCAGACGAGAAAACAAATGAAATTAAAATATTTATCAACTAAATGTCAGTTTGCTCGTTCGTGAAGTGACAATTAGTCATGTTTTTGTTTTATTTATTTAAACGATGATCGTCCTTGTCAAGAAGTTTTCCAAGTTCCAAGTTCTTATCTATCGAATTATAACAAGTAACCCGAAGTTCCCGGCGAGAGGTTTTGGTTTTGAGATGATCTTTGTTAGGTAAATATTAAGTTGCTTAATGGGTGATTTAAAGATTTACAATTTTTCCCTAAATTGAGTCTTACTTTGATTTTACGGGGTTTTCAGATTGACATTTCATAAATGTTGATTTGTTTTTAAAGTTGTTTTGTTTTGGAAAGTTTTAAAGGGTAAGGATTTCTTTGGAATAGTCGATCAATTTTTAAAAGGGAAGCTTTGAAAAAATGTCTTTAAAATTTTCTTCCTACATTTGTTGATGATTGTTTGGTTTCTGTTCGTTTGTTCGTAATCTTTGGTTTGTTCTAATGTTACTCAGCAAATTAACTGCCACCGCCGCTCAGTTCATCTTCGTACTGCTTCCTGAAGCAGTCACCGACGGGGAAGAAGTCCCAACATCTCTGCTGGTACATGTTCCACACGTACGTCTCCTGACCGGTATATTCGGTGTCCGGTTTGTTGATTAAATGCATCAGGAAGAACATGTAGTTCGCCAGGTTGTGCTCCTGGGCGACGTGCGTATCGAACCCGTGGGGTACCTATGGAATATGGATTGTTTGTTAGACTAACCACTGGAGTAAAGCTTTTCGAAACTCACCTTATCGAAATAGTCTTTGCCTATTCCGCAAATGAAGCAGTTAGACTCCATGTCCTCCTTGACCGACTCCAGCTGATCACGAAGCTCACCGAAAGCATCAATGATCAAACCCTGGATGATGGCAAGCAGAATAACGATGACGAAGAAGAAGAATGAGATGTCGAACAGGATACGGTACACCTCGTACTCGTCACCATCCGGATCACCGATTTCGTCACCTATACCACCACCCGCCCGGACACCCTTGTACAGATGGAAGACAAAGCAGGTGCCCATGTCATGACACTTCCGATCGCCCTCCTCTCCATCGTCGTCCTCCTGGATGTAGAACTTACGGAAGAAGTTGAACGCAATTACGGTGTAGATGTACACGATGATTGTGAGCAACATCATCGTCAGCACCAGCTGTTTGCCGTTGTGCGTTACGGACTGCAAGATCGTACGTAGCGTCTTGAAGCCTACCGCCACATCGAGCAAGTGAGCCGCAAAGAAGAAATTATTGAAGTTACCCATGACTGAGAAAATGAAGTACCACAGTGAGTACAGGAACGAATTATCCGTTATGGTGACGCCGGCCTTCCAGATCTGATATCTCCAATCGATGTTTGCTATAAAGTGGAATAAGCCACCTCCTTCGACACTTTCCTGGGCGGCAAAGGCATTCTTCTCCATTCCAAGTAGATTGGAGATAGAATCAAAGTCATAAGTTTCGCTGTACTTCTGACGGACCTTCTTCTTGACGAATTTATCCCAGTAGTTGACCGGGAAAGTCTTGGCCGAAATGACCAGTTTATCCCAGTGTGATTTGATATCGTCGTCTTCCGGTTGCTCAGCAATGAACAGTCCATCGAATTCCAATCGTCGAGCAATTTCCTTTTCGCGCTTGAAGATAGCCAGTGGTACCTTCAGGTGATAGTAAGCGATCAACATGCAGAGCGATACCAAACTGTGCAAGAAGGCCGCCACCCGCATTACGTGTTCCATGTAGAAGAAGTCCTCGTCCACCTCGACCTTTTCCATTGGATCTTCTCCGTCGCCATCATCACCACCATCTCCACTGCCACCATCGCCGCTTCCTCCTTCCAAAACCGTTTCCGCCAATCCAGAGCCAAGTCCCGATGCCAATTCCATCATATCATCGCCAGATCCATCTGCAGCGTCGTCCTCTCCCAGTGTTGTTACCTTGTAGAATAGCAGCATAAAGTTGATACAGAAAGCCAGCACCAAAGCCACATACTTCAGGTTATAGAAATTCCTAGCCAAAAAGCTGACGGCCTTCTTCGTGTACTTGGAGAAGTCGATCTGAGTAACGGCAGCTGGCTCCTTAACTTCAGAAGATGCTTTCTTCTGTTCGGCCTCAATGTTAGCCAGTGTAGCTTCCTGAGCCTTCTGGGCTTCGGATCGTTCCTGAGCCGCACGCTTTGCCGCTTCACCTCCCAAGAGATCAATCAAGGTCATCGGTGGTTCACCACTTGCAGCATCAGCCGATAGTTCGCCGGCACCATCTTCTGGACTGCTTTCGCCAGTCTCCTCCACAGACGAAGACGGACTTAACGCGGGTGATTCGTGCGCTTGTACGCGGTACTGTCCGTTCTCTTCCTTACTGATATCTAAACCGAATGCTTGTACGGTGCTCGGTGGTTCTTCAGTCGGTAACGGTGGTAACGCTAGTAGCGTAGGTTCAACCTCTACGATCACTTCCTCTTCCAATTGAGTCGATCCACGCATCAGTGACATGAGAATGTTCACCAAGTACTTGATGATGACCGATACCCCGAAGCCCGAGTAGTAGAATGCGTAGAAGATCATCTTGAAGAAGCCGACGATGATTTCCGGGAATGATTTCGTCTGCAACACTGCGATCTGGTGCTTGATGTTCGACGGGGAGATCATGTACATCGAGTAGGATAGACCATCCTTGATGGCTTGGATCGTACGTTTGATCGGATCCCGTGCTGCACGTTCCTCCTCTTCTTCGCTAATGTACGTGAAGGATGCCTCGCGGTGTACATTTCCGCCGTCCTCGTCGCTAGCCATCAATCCCGAAGCGTGAGTCATTTCAAAAATGGCATCCTCGCAGAAGTTTACGAACGCTTCGAGCTTTTCCTTGTCGCCACCCTCGGTAACGATCGAGTAGAAGAAGGCACGCTTGGATTCCTTGATTTGCGGTTTCTCCCACTGTTCGATGTTGGCTTCCTTGATCTCGAAGTATACTCGTTCGATGCGTTTGGACGAACCCATAATTTCGATGCGGCCCAGGAACGACTCGAAGTAGTTCAGGACGGATCCGGCAGTTTCCAAAAACCGTGCCAAGCGAGGTTCATTGGGCATGTGTTCCGAAAGGTTGGTCAACAGTACAGCCAAGTTGAAGCCGATTTCCTTTGCCGGTTCGTGGAAACGATCGACGAAACCAATGTAATCGATCTTGCCATCGTGGTTGCTTTCGCAACATGCCAGCAGGAAGTTTATTTCCTCCGGTGTGTAGCTCTTCTGCTGCTCCATCTTCTCGCGGAAGTCCTTCGGTAAAATCCAACCATCACCATTGGGATCAATTTCCATGAAGCTCGGAGTGGAGGTCAGATCCTTCAGCTTGAGGAACATATCGAAGTACTTGAGAATCAGCTCTACGTTGGAAGCCGATTCGACCAAGGTGTCCACCATCTGCTTACCGATCGTACCGTTGACGACATTACCTTCAAGCATGGAAAGCATCATGGTTATCATGTCCTTCTGCAGGTTCAGCAGTTCCTTCAGCAGATCGACCTGGCTAGAGTGCTTGGAGAGATTGTCCTGCATGTGTGAGAACAAGAACAGGAAACCTCCGACGGCATCCCACAGACGGGAGTGGGCCAGCGCCTGCTGATTCTGCGTACACGGACCCTGGATGACTTCAGTGAGGGTGTTGAATACCTGACTGGCGACACCGATTGCCTTGAAGAAGTTAGCTTTACCGGCTGGATCGATCAGTTCCTTACTGGAGTAGTGCCAGTAGAAGTCCATGATGGATTCCTGAAGTCGCAACAGGTAATCGACGGTGCAGATAACTACGTTGACGGTGGTGGTATTACCGGCTTGTGTTCTCAGGTAGTTCTGCCAGTCCAAGTTGTGACCTTCACAGGTCAGCTGGATGAATCGGAACAAAGCGCATGTGAACTCGGCGTCGTGCATGTTCTTCTCGCCCGCTGCTCCTTCGGCACCGACTCCGAGACCTTCGGCCTTGGTATTACGCTCGAAGGCGTCCAGATCGAGGACACTGCAAGAGTTCATTAGGCCAGCGATCGAAGTGAAGAATCCAACGTCTTTCTTCTCCTTCAGGTGATTCAACATGCCCATCTGGATGTCGATGTTACCACCGCGTAGAATGGCAATACCTAGCTCCAGGGTACGCATCACCATGTCCGAAGGGATACCCTTGGATGCCGATATGTGCAACAGGACCATCTCAGCCACTCCACGGTTCGCCAGGCGGGCTTGGTGGAATAGAAGTTTTTGCTTTTCCATTTCTTGTTCCTGGAATGGGGGAAAAACGGTTAGATCGTTTTAATCGAATGTGCAGCACTTATTACCGAGGTTTGAAATCTTACCATGAGCTTATCCATGGTCTTTTGGGTTAGTTTTGGCATGGACGATTTAGAGGTTAGTTGGGATCGCATTATAGGCTTCAAGGGTTCTGAACACGCCATACTTACATGAATGCTAGCACCACCTTCATCCTCGCCGCCGCCACCGCCTTCCTCTTCGTCGCCTCCTTCCTCTTCCTCTTCACCACACGACCGGGCCACAATGCTCGCGTAGGACATGTACAGGGCGTCCTCTTGGAGGGCACCGCTGCGTTCCGTCATCGCACCACGGCAGAAGGTCGTCACCAGCTGAGTCAGCGGATCGGGTTTACCCTCCTCCTCTTCCTCCTCCTTCTTCTTCTTTTCGGCATCCTCGAATGTTTGCTGTAATGCAAATTTCCTGTTATCAGTACGCTCTTCCGTACACAGATTTGAAACAGAACTTACAGTAAGGTCTTCAATCATGACCTCCTGTCCAACATTCTCGTCCTCCAGCCATAGTTCGGAATAGGTCTTGGCGAAGATGTTACACGCTCGGTGTCTAAGAAAGTTTTGGATCCATCCCGGAAAAAAAATATTTCGATTAGTTTCTAGTTATAGTTTAAGCAAAGAAAGAAAAAACAAAACGAAACAAACTAAACTACGACAACGAAACGAAAACAAAAAAAGAAGACTAGGTTAGTTTTAAGCGGTAGGGATCTAGATTAGAGTTCAATTTTATGAGGATACGAAATCGAGCTCGTAAACAATAAGTAAGCAAACAAACGAGATACGAATAAACGAAACATAAAAAATTGCATCTATTGTAGTTTTTAGACGCTCCACGAATCGTTGGAGAAGAGAGAATGATAAAAAAAAAACAACTGCGTAAAAGTAGTAATAATAGTGGACAAGTCACCTGCTCAATCTATACATTGGTTTTGATCTTATACATGCAACAGCCATTTTGCGACGTGCTTGTGATAAAACTAGTTTCACATTCTTACGGCTGTCTTTTGGTCGGCATGCCTATATATAGTTGGTGGTATCCAAGTTAGTAGATTACAATGCGGTTAGTAAATCTTATCTTGAGCCAATAAATATGGTAGTAATGCGTGTGTGCATGTGTGTGCTTGTGTGTGTTTGTCTCGGCGTGCATTTGGTGGGAATGATAGCGAACAGAGAGACAGGGTGTGAAAGAGGGTGAGGCGGTGCGAAAGGGTAGAGTTAGTGGAAGACCAATGAGCGGTGCGCCGTTTGTTTGTTAGTGGTGGTAGTGTGTGATTAGATGGCTGTGTGCGTGTCAGGGGCTGATTAGACGTGTGTTTTTTTTGCTTAAAAGGATTCACCGAGAGCGTAGAATTTTGTTTAGACCGAATTAATAAGATGCTAGTTGAAAGTGCTTTGTCAGGGGGAAGACATTTGATTTTAATTTTGCTGTGGTTTATTTCTCAAAAACATGACACTTAGTGCAAAAATACATCATTCTAGTTTCTGTTGTCAAGTCAAGATCGCTCCCACAAAAAAGGATAACAAAAGATAAAAAAAGAAAGAATGCTGGTTATGCAAAACTTTTCATCTCTGAAAAGTTTTGTTTCAGACTGCGCCTTTGTTAAACTTTGAATAAAATTAATCTTACATTACCATTCATTGCACATCAATCGAATTACGGATAGATAGATAGAAGTCGCAAAACAAAAAACAAAATCGATAGCGCGGAAAATCATTAGAATTAATGCAAAATACAATTCTTTCCAAAACTAACAATGCCCGAAACTTGGAGTTAGAAATGCTTTATGTGAATGGTTACAGTTGTCTACTTAGCATAAAATGGCTCATTCTTCGCACTTAACCCGGCTGGTATGGTAGTTTGCGGCTCTCACCGTTTCGCAAACTGCACATAGTGAAGTCTCAATGTAAAACATCATCAATACTGTCATATGTAATAAATCACACCACAAGTACAGTGAAGAGAGGCGATTTTTGGAAACGTTCAGATGGCTACCATGAAATTTTCTCTGAATATCTTTGTGAAATACAGTCAACTCTCCATAACCCGATATTGAAGGGACCATCGAGTTATAGGATTATCGACTCGTGGAATAACAATTTTTTGTTATCGTCTATAACTTTAAGGATAATACCGAAATACTGCATTTACTGGAATATTTGGCCTTATTTACTCATATGAATTCGGAAAATGGTTCAAGGAACGGATGTTCTGAACAGTTAATTTAACAGATTTGTATGCAGTTCAATGTGATCAAGAATGATTGAACCATTTAAAGTTCAATTGATTTGAACACTTCATGTCTGATTTTGAACACTTCTCTGGGAGCATCTGGAATATTTTTGAATTTGTTACCAATGATCCTTAGCCCAAACATAAATACATTTTGACAAGCTTCCTTACACAGTTATGTTTTTAAGATTTTGAACTCTTAGATGTTTGTTTAGACCATTCGGGCTTGGAAAACTTTTTGAGAGATCTCGGACTGCGAATCTTGATTTTTTTCCGGAATAGAAAAAAAAATCATGCATTGAAATCAACTGCTAGTTCATCTCCGTCAAAAGCTGCTCGTTTTTTCTCACACCAATTTATAGGACTTGGATTTTTTTTTCGATATTGAATAAATTTTATAGAGGGCACTGAATTTTCGAAGATTAGGGTTTTTAAATTTGGTAAGAAATCAAAATTTAAACTTCATTTAAACATGAGCCGTTCTTTAGAGATTTACTGTTTTCGTGATTTTCGGCAATCACATTTTTTTTCCAAGATCATTATTTTCTCACACCAATCTATTTGACTGACTTATAGTTTACTGTGGCTAACAATGTCCTAAGTTTACAAGAAGGCTGTTTTTCTCATAATTCGTTAAAATATGTTATTTTTGGTTAAACAACAATTTGATTGGCGCAAATGTTAAATCAATTTTAAGGGAACAGCTTTACAATCTAAACAATTAAAAGCTTAAGTTGAACATTTACTAAGATCTCAAAAAAATGCAATGTCCTAATGTTTCAAATTCCAAGTCCAAGTTAAAGGTATTAAAAAATTCCAAAGTGCCAGAATAAAACAAAATGAAATGATGTATGTTATGTTCACAATCTTAAAAACATACCGAAGTTTGGCATTACGAATACTTCTGTTAGTGTTGGAACTGAAAAACTTGTCATATTTCAGGATCTTGGAAATTTTTTCCATGTCTGGAATATTATAAAATAAAACTTCCTGAGTCTTAAAGGAATGAAATCTCAAAATTTATTGATTTATTATTTTCTTACCAAATCCAATATCTTGATTTTGGCAGGATATCGAAAAAATATCTATGCTGAAATCATCCTGATTCCCTTGGAACTATTCATGGGATTTATTCAGTGTTTTTTGAACAACTTCCTTACAATAATCTCAGAATACTTTCAGAGTTCATCTTAGACCTATTCCTTGTATACATTAGAAATGATTACCAACTTTGGTAATTTTTACCGAACGTTCAACAGCTGAACTGTTCAGTAAAAATCAGGCATCTTAATTCATTAGTTTTAAGGCTTCAAATCATTGAAAACTTTACCACAATCAGGCATGGAAAATCATTTGCATTCATTTCGTGCATTCATTTACATTCATTTGCCTCTTACTTTTTTCTTCACCAGCATTCCGCAAAATGATATATAAAGCTTTTGTAGGTTTTGTTATTAGCTACAACTTTTGTTAACAATTCAAATCCGTATCTCTCATGCATGACGAAGCAGAGCGAACAGAAGCCACTACTGTTTTTCAGTGAATATATTTTACATTCACTGAAAAACAGTAACAGGTTCTGCCCGCTCTAGTTAGTGATGCATAAGAGATACAGATTTGAGTTATGAGCAAAACTTGTAGCTAATAACAAAACCTACAAAAGTTCTATAAATCTTTTTGCGGAATGCTGTTGATGAAAAAAGTTAGAGGCAAATGAATGTAAATCAATGTATGAAATGAATGCAAATGATTTTCCATGCCTGACCACAATGGCAAGAATCTAATATTTAAACAAGGCTGACAGTGTTTTGAAATTAAAATTAAGTGAAACATCTCTTTAGAAAGAGTGATATCCTTGTAAATCATCTGCTGAATACTCCTTGAAGTCACTATGCAATGCTCTTCAAATTATTAATAATTCATGCAGTAGTTATAACTTACGAATTCTCCAACGATTTCTCTGGAAAATTCACTTGGAGTTCTCCTCAGCATTCGATATGTATTCTTCAGAAATTCCTATGTAATTTTTCTAGGAATTCCTTTTTAGTTCTGCTCAGGATGCCCATATGTTCTTTGAAATGCTCCTCCGAATTCCCATGGAACTTTCTTTTGAATTCTTAAAAATTATCACCGGATTATGCTTGCAATTCACTTGAAATGTTCCTTGATATTACGTATTTCCATAGAGTTCTCTTGAAATGCGTCTTTGTATGAAATCCAGTAGAATTATTCCCAGAATTTCCAATAAATTAATTTCAGAATGCCCTTTGAATTTTGCTCCTTCTCTTAGAATAATACTCACTTTGAAAGTTTTCTAAGAATTGCATAGATGTTTCATTAAAAAATATTTGGCACTCAATTCAAAACTCTTCCGGAATTCATTTCCTAGTTCCTTTGAAGTTCATCTGGAATTATTTTCAGATTTAATTTTAATCCTTCTTTTAGCATACTTCCGAAGTATTCCCGTAAAATTCCCATGAAATTATGCTCCGGATTCTTTTTCACCCTGAAACTTTTTGAAATTATCCTCTGAATTCAGTTGGAAGTTTTTTTAATTCCCTTGGATTCCTTTTCCGAATTTCTTAGGAATGAACTTCAGAAATTTCTATGAGTTTTCATTAAAATTTCATTCGAATACTATTCAGGGATTACTTTGAATTCTACTCAGAGCTACCTTGATATTCTCCTCAGGTTTCACATAGAATCTGGAGTTCTTCGGGATTACTTTTCCTCACAGTTGTTCCCAGAACTCCCTTGGAATGAGTTCCTTAGAAATTATCATCAAATTTCATGAGCCTTGAAAGTCATGCAAGCTACTTAATGTTGATGTTATTTAAATCTGTGATCTCGGATAATACCAATGCTGAAAAAATTGTGTTTTGCTGTGGTTAGCTGCGCGCACGCTGAGTTGATAGAAAGAAGATTGATGGCGATTCTGAAGATTTCCAGCAAAAACATGATGCGCGATGCAAGTAGATGCGAGAAATGAAAGAAGATTTTTCGAAGGTTGATTTACTAGTGTGAGATTTGTTGAGTTAGTAGAATTGAGATTTGGGTGTGTTGCCCTCCTCTGAAAATACCTAGGAAAATACTCAATGTCTGACACAATGAACATTTGTCTTCGGTCCAGTATAAGTATAATTATGTTTAAGCGCAAACTTTCAAAATAGTTTATCCAAAATTTGTGAAAAATATCCATATTACAGAACCTGGCCTAATGACCTTCGGCATCCACCCTGTGCATGTAACCTGTCTGATACATTTCGTGATCCTGCTATAAAATAAAGGTACGGACCATTTCCCCGAAACGCCAGCAACCT